CCGTTGCCTACTGGTGGTCAGAGGGCCCGGTGGCGCCAGTGTCCGGCAGCCTCGCCATTGTAGCCAGGGTGGCTGTGGCTACAATGTAGCTTGCCATCACCAGTGTGTGAATGTGTGGATGACTGGTTCTGTAAAGCGCTTTGGGGTCCTTAGAGACTAGTAAAAGCGCTATACAAATACCATGCCATCTCCGTGGCACATGTGCATGTGTGCGTGGAATGCAGAGCCATTGTTCTGCGTAAATGTCAGACAGGTGTTTCAAGATTTTACCTTGCAACCTCCAGTTGGGTTATATAATCATTAAAAAAACCTTGCTGTGTTTTACTTACTGAATGCATAAGCACAAGAAGAGTGAGAGTGACAGGTGTTTGTGTGTGTGAGTGTGCGAGAGAGAGTGAACTTTAACCTGCAGACAATCCAAAGAGGTGCTAACTATCCGGGGGGACTTAGACTGACACGCCAACTCAAAAGGCAGCACATATTTATCAGCCTCGATGTAGTTGGCTCTGGGCGGGACCACGGTACCATCCCTGGAGGAAGGAAAGGAGAGCAAACAGCTGAGAGACCTGGCAAAGCTGCATCAAGAGCAGATTTCTATACACGCAATGTATAGAGTGTAAGCTGTGTAAGCTGGAGATCCTCAACTTCATGATAATGACACAGATTATGTGAATAATTCAAATGTTATGTCAAATCTCTTATTCTGCAGTCCTATTATCATAGTCCAGAACTCTCACAGCACAACGACATTCAGTCGAACAGGTGGCTCGTCTACGGCAGAAGGCACATTGCATTGCAAACACTATCCCATAATCTAAATAAAAATAGAATGCAATGATTTCTAAATCATTCAAACTCTATATTTAAAAAAAGCTGCAAAAAAGACATCATATCAAACACACAACAAGGATTTTATTTGTTGTCCCAACACACCCTTGCTCTGAATTTCATGTCAGCAATATGTTTCAATAAACTGAGACGGAGCCATTAAAGGACTGGACAAGTTCCACAGATCTTTAGAAAAAAACTTCCCTGATGGAGTAATTGTGTTAACTGCAATAAGTAAACTGATTAGGTATAAAGACAGGATCCCACAAAGGCTGATTCATTTAAAAGTAAATACAGAGGGAGATCCAATGCTCCACGTATTTACTGCTAAATTAAAGTAAACGTTTCTTTATGGATTTTCTCGTCTACAGTGCAAAATATTAACAACAGATTCAAAGAATCCAAAGAAGTCTGTTAGCAACAATATTAAATTGCTGTGACCTTGTAGGTCAGAAATCCTGCAGTGGAAATCACAACATGGACTCTTTTTGAAAATGAACATGGCTGCAGGCTTTTCCAGAAAGTAAAACAGAAATGTTGGCTGAGCTACTTTGAGACAAACAGGACAAAATAGTAAACCATCCTGTGATCTGATCAATCAATGTGGAGGTTATTTTTCAAAATGATGGAGTGCAGTTGGATTAATCCTGAACAACTGAGGAGCTGAAAGTCTGTACCAAGCAAAAACTGGAAAACAACTGGTCACTTCCCATATTTCTTTCAATAAAATGTCATCTTTTAACATTTGATGTGTTGCCTTTTTACCATAAGGAATAGATTTTTTAAATACATTGTTTACAAGCAGTCCTACTATTGCAGTCAAATCACAATGAAATTCACAAGCAATCCTTATTTCAAGTTCTTACCCAAAATACCAAGAAGAAGGAAAAAAACTTTCAGAGAAAAAGAAAGCTTTGTATTTAGGAATACTCACTTTTGTTTCTCCAATTCTTCCTTGATTTCATCTGTTAGAGGAAAGCACAGGAGATTAAATGTTACTGAGGTCTGAATGCTCTGCAGCACACTGCTGCCACACCACACCACACCACACCGCTGCGTGCCGCAGCACATAAGTGTGACTCTTGATCCAGGGGTTACTAAGTTGAGCATAAATTGTAGTAGCATTATATGCTACACACAGGAAATTAGTATGTGCAACACTCACTACAAATGTCATAATCACTATTCTAGACTAATATACTTTAAATGGTGACAAAAACATATGATTCTCCTTCCTTTTCACACAGTAAGAATGTGATGTGAGGCCAGTTCATTCCTCCAAAGTGTATAAATTAGTACTACACATAAATATATAAAAAGGTATGAATAATACTCACACGCTTTTTTAGTCACGTGGCTGCTGCTGACAACGTTCGTCTCTTTCAGCATACCTAGTTCATCATTAAATACAGTACCGTGCAAAAGTTTTGAGCCACCACTGAACCCTTTGTTTGTTAAGACACTTAACACTGACCAGTGACTTATTCAAGCATAAGAAGGCACCTAACTCAAGGGATGAACTAGCTTTTTGTCTACACATGACAACTTAGCAAAGAACCGGTTTTAAATTGGACCAAAAACACAATTTGTTTTCATTTCTTTAGGGGAATCTATGAAAAATGCCAATGATACCACAGTTTGACAGACATAAAGAATTATTGCACCAACAATGGAATTCCCACAGAACCATAACCCAAAAACTTTGCATATTTCACCATGTTGTGTATTGTGTCCTTAAAGGATTTGAGGAAAGTTGACAAGTAGAGGACAAAAGAAGAAGTGGGAGGGCTAAAAAAATAAACAGTATCTGACAATAATGTCCTTAAGAAAATGAGAAATTGCAGCACAGACCTGACACAAGACCTGAGAGATACACCTGACCCCAACCCTTCAGTTAATCCACCTACTGTTTGCTGAAGCCTCATTAGAATTGGTTTAAGTGGAAAAGGCTGCCAAATTACCCATATCAGGACAGAAAAACAAACAATGGAACACTATCAGTCACAGACTGGCCTCCACAAAACCCGACCTAAACATTATTTTCGGAATGTGGGATGATCTTGACAGAGAAGAGATCAAAAGGCAGCCAACATCCAAAGAAGAGCTTAGGAATACGCTTCAAGAAGCCTGGACAATTATTCCCAAAGACTGGTTAGAGAAATGCCAAGAAAGCTCGTCTAAGAGAGTTGAGAGAGCGTGGAAAAATAAAGATGGTCATAGCAAATAGTGACTTTTAAGCTCATGAGAGTTGCACAAACTCTGTTTCCACCTTATATCCTGTAGTTTTTATTTATGTTTGTGTAAGTTTAAATAAATTGCTGCACCCATTTCCCATGCAAAACATAAAGAAATGAGGGGTGGCTCGAGACTTTTGCACAGTACTGTATAAACTAATGCAAGACAGCTTAGCTTTCTGAACAAGGTATTTGTGGCAGTGAGGGAGAAAAAACTGAGGTATTCATGAGACTTGCCTAAGGCCACATTGACTGAATATCGGGAAGACACTAAACACAGCCGTGAGGCGTTGAGGGAACACGTGTTGTGTTCAAGTGTCACATATGAGAGTCAAACACGGACAGAGAGCACACAGAGCAGCCCCGCCTCGCCCACCACCACTCAAACACGTCCTTAAACTGCCTGCACCCTAATATTGTGGCACAAGTTGTTTCCCCAATTTCTCAATGATCTAACAAAAAAAAACCCGACAGAGACAAGCACCTTAGAAAGCAACACCACACTCCGGGCAGCTTTTAATGTCTTTAAGTCCAATAAGACACTGGTCGCTGACTGTCACACAAACAGGAAGAGCAGTCTGAGCTGAAATACACACAGCAGTGCCGTAATTAAGTAAACAGCTCGGCGTGTGCAACACTATCTGTGACTGGGTTGAATGGAAAAGAACGAACGTCAGAATATCCTGGAGTTAGGTAGCGTGTGTGCGTGTAGAGCCGGACCAGGCTGTCTGGCTAGTTGACAGTGCTACGTACAACACAGGGATTGGTCTGTTTAACTAGCTAACCTAGCTACAACTAGCTAACGTCAGTTAGCTACGTTAGCATGTTACCCTGCCGATGCCCGTTTAGAATGCGGCTGTGGCCGGATATCAACATAACAAAGGTTATAATTGGGAGTGAGAATGGTGTCAACACATAATATGTCTGTAAACATCAACGGGGAACCAAACAGGCGATAAAGGCCATTCAGTTGCTAACGCTAGCTAACTGGGTATCTCTACCATAAAGGCAGACCTCAGAGCGAAATGTTTCAATGAAACGCGACAGAAACATAAGGCTCGGCGAGCCAATGTTCATAACAAACCCACTTACCTAGCGCCACCTGGCAGGCTTTACGCAGCTGGCTGTGCTGGCTCCTCTTCACCTCCTTATCCGAGAGGATTTTCTCCAGCGCCCTGGACAGAAACATGCTCTTGGTTTTGCTGTTTTCTGCCTTCGACTGCGAGTACTGCTGCTGCTGCGGTGGCCGGTGTTGTTGCATCTCTCGATCTTGTTGCCGCTCCTCTCTCAGGCCGTCATCTTCGGCCTGGTCCTGCGAATTAGCAGGTGACAAGGAAAAGCTAATGAAAACCAGGCTATCACAGTACGTCCAGTAGAGCTGCTACCTCAACTCAGCGCCGCCATGCTGGGTACACGTCATGTCACATCACGTGATTCTCAGCTGTGTGGATTTTGACAACGGCACCTCAGGTAATCGCTCAAACCTAGTTAAATAGAGTTGTATCAATGGAAGAAAAATGTATATTGTTCGAATCAGACATAATAAATGATAAACATTCCGTTTTCAAAGACTTCGAGTTCTGTAACTTAAGTTAAAATACTCATTTTCATGTTGAATATTAAACTCGCTCACGTCCTGGAATATCCTGCAGATGGCGCCCAAACTCCACAAAGTATTTATATGAATGCTACTCAGTTCATCTACCGCACATACTACCTGAAAAGCAGGTCAGTGGCATCTTCAGGATTTTTTTTTTTTTAATTGGAGCAGCACAGGAGGGAACAAGAACCAAGCAGGATGTAACAGCAACTGAATTTTTAATAAGACCTGCTTGCAAATTGGTTAAAAATTCAGCCACTTGTAACAGTTTTTATTTGTAGACAGACCCCCAGCTTCCATAACCTTGATTTAGGCCGCAACAAAATCCAACCACTGACTATTGCTACATATTAGTTTATTTTATATTTTATCCAGTTCCTCCAATCAGCAGTTACAGGTATATATATAGATAAATAAAAGCATCAATATGAAAATACTGACAGACAATCTTCATTACAAGTCTAAAACATAGAATTTATCTGGCAAGCAACAATCATTGCTCGATCACTTAAAAAATTTCTGACAGAGTAAAACATTTAGCCTGTTTCAAGGTTGCTTTAATACATGTTTTTATTCCACAGAAATCATAATTCACAGTATGAAAAAAAACAAAAACAATAATGGTGTCATGTCTTGCACAGACTCTCCTGTTGCTTCAGCCAGAACCGTAAAATCACCTACTGAAATCATCTCTAATGGACAATAAAAATCTACTGTACCGTGAGATTTATGACCAAAAACAACAATCACAGATAAACAATATATCAGTTATAAAAATAAAGTCATAAAATGTGTACAAAGAAAGAAAAATATGCCGACATCTGATTAGAGAATAAATAAAAATGTTGCTGTGGTTACAATCCCAGTGTCCTGTGGTAAAAGTAGAGGAAATAAATTAACAGTGACTTCTAAAAGCCTTCCATCCAAAGTACGACTCATCGCTGTGCTTTAAGATCGGGAATGAAAGAAGACAAGTCCCACCAGCATGTGCTGTACCATAAAAAGGCCCAAAACACAGTACCTTACACATATAAGTTACAATAAACAAGTGGGTGGTTATACACAACCTGTGTGAAGGTTTCTAGTAAATGATTCACTGTGTAATAAACAATAAACAGAGCTATAAATGATAAACATTAGTGCAGTGGTGTTTCACTGGAAGTGCAGTGTGTGCCAGCCATGATATTGTGGGTGAGATAAAATCCATGCTAAAGTCAGGGTTAAAACTTTTAACAGGAAAAAAAAAAATCAATGAAAGAAATAATAGACCATCTGCTCTCACTTCAGGGAGGCAGCAGCTTGTAATGGTAATGGTGGATCTATAGTGTGCTTTCAATAAATGTTGTGGATCTGCTTTATGAACAGGAACTGTGAGAGTTACTTCTTCACTCAGACATTGTGAAATGTCTGAGTGAATTCAAACTGAATGGTAGAAAAAAATCAAAGTAAACGGACGTTCATTACAGACAAGAAATCATCCTACTGAAACCACAAAAATGCAGGTCAGGGCCAAGATATTCTGTACACAAGCCAGCCCTGCCTCACCTTTATCAAATACAGAGAGTGAATCAGCTTTTGCCTTGCGTGTGTGTTTGTTTCACCGTGACTCAGTCCTACAAGGGCGTACTTTGGAACCAGGAAGTTTTTCACTTCTGACTATGTGAGCCATTCATTTTAACCCACTCCTTCATGTCAGCCTCTGTCAGTGCGCCCCAGGGCAGCTGCGGCTACAATGTAGCTTGCCATCACCAGTGTGTGAATGTGTGTGTGAATGGGTGGATGACTGGTTGTGTAAAGTGCTTTGGGGTCCTTAGTAGCCACTGTAAAGACAGTTGTTAAGTTACATTATCTTAAGTGATTAACTGAATTCAATAATAATACAATGAAAAGCAAGACATGTTGCAATGAGACGGCACTCAGATTAGATGTACTGAGTTATGGTCCAAAAAGAAGGAAGAGGGGAACACTATTGCAAACTAAATTAAAAATCCCATTCACATCGTTTCTTCTGTATACATGCAGCAGGGGAAATAGCCCTTGTCGTGATAAGGAAAAGTTCAATATGAATGAAATACAACAGGGAAATTAACTAGAAGATTTCCTAGTCCAACAACTTCTAACTGGTCAAATAAAAAACAGCACTGTCACTTGCGGGATCCAAGTATTAATAATAATAATAATAATAATAATAAAGACAGGATAGGAAAAGCCCAAGGACAAGATGTGCAAATATTTATCAAAATCACCAATCTTTCATTATCAGTCATTGTCACATCAAGTATAGACAGCAGTGTTTAATGCCATCTGAGCCAGCACAAAGAAAACAATACTTCTTCTATATGGGATTCTCCTCCCAAAAAAAATAATTTTTTTATATATATATATATATATATATATATATGTGTGTGTGTGTGTGTGTGTGTGTGTGTGTGTATTTTTTTTTTCCAGAGCTCAGCATAGTTGTTTGCTGTGCCTTGTGAGGGAAAATTCTGCACTCATGCTGTGGTTACCTGGGAGAAGGCAGGCGATCAAAGCATGCTTCAGAGTGACAAGAGAAAAAGAAAAAACAGTGTTTTTGCTTTACGGGTGATATTAGCTTGTTAGCACGACTTAAAAAGAGGAAATATGTAATGGGTATGGATGGGCTTCCTATCTCTGCCCGCTAAAGGAAGTTCGGCGGAATAACAGTTATGGGATTAAAAACAGGTGCGTTTAGAATAAACAGAAACAGTGGACATTTTCAGGGGGGTTTTCTGTTGTTGTTTTTGTGGCTGCAGAACCAGGAATGGGGGCTGTCACTGCTATGGCACAAATATGTGGTCATTGGCATTCAGAAGAGCAAAGTATGGGGGTGTAGTGTTTGATGTGAAAGGACAAATTTAGTAGGTCGAGATGTAATACGCAGACGTATGTTTGTGCTTCTCAGGTTTAGTCACTGTGAGATGGAACTGTACGTTCCTGGGTTTTATTTGATTTCTCCATCAACCCTCCATGTGTGTTAAAGTACAAGAGTGTTTATTTCTCTGGTCTCCAGTGTGTAGTGTGTAAAATGTCCAGAATGTCCAGTCTACAGCGTTATAACAGTACCGTCCTCCTCCAAACTCCCCCTCTCCATGGCTCTGTCTGGGGACGGCGTTGTAGCCTTGATGTTGCTTAGGGAACTACTGCTGCCGCTGGTGGGCAGGGTCCCATTGGTGTTAATGGAGAAGGTGGAAGTGGTGGCGGTGCGGAGGTTGAGGTGTGGTTCGTAACGAGGCAGTGAGCTCATGCTGTGGTTGGAGGCCACATGTCTGATTGGCTCAGCCTCGCCTCCAGCCTCGATTACCAAGTCCTCTTCATCTTCATCGCTCTCCAACTCCCCAACAGGGAAGTTCTGGATGATGTGTGGTGGTATGGAGGCTGCAGCACTGTGTGACGAGTAGCCGTAGTAACTGGCGCCGCTGTCTGATGAGCGTCCTGAACTACCAGATGCTGCACCCCCTCCTCCGCCTACTCCACTACGAACGATATTGTTCCGCTGGTTGGCAGGCTTTACGGTGATGATGAGGTTGTGGCTGTTGGCGATCATCATGTCTGTCACCTGATCCAGCGACTTCCCAGCAACCTCGATACCATTCACTTCCAGCACTTCGTCATTAACCGCCAGTAGGCCGGTGCTCTCCGCAAGCCCGCCTGGCACCAAGCGAGAGATGAATATTCCTGGGACTTTCTCCAAGCCCTGTGGGGTGACCCGTACACTGGAACCATCGCGGATGTAGAAACCCAGTGGTTTTTCCTGGCCGTGCTTGTACAGACGAACACGTCGGTGCGTCTCTGGGAGGATGTCGACGTCGATGATGGACGATACAGGCCGGAAGTCTTTAGGGAGGCTGATTATCACTGGAGGTTTTTTCTTGTTGTGATCAGGCCGCAGAAGAACCGCAGAAAGCACAGTGTTCTTCTTCCTGGTCAGGGAATCGGTACCAAATGTTCCATGATCAGCTTCCTCTGTTAAGTAGAAGACAGGAAGTAGAGAAATAGAAGAGGAACAGAGAAACAAAGAGGATGTTAATAAAAGCTGGTTAATTTTTTCAGTAATACCACACTAGGCTCATTACACATCAAATTGTTATTCAAGCTGACACAGTGTTGCATCATGCAGTTTAGAAGAATGAATAATGATTTGCTCTCAGCCTGAGGCATACTTGCAGGGCGTCTGTGCTAAACATACACAAGACACTGATCCCTATAGCTCCCCTCAGGTTGTACTGATGCAAAATGGCACACCAGCTACCTCAAGTCAACTCCCATCAGCTCTCTCTGACACACAGCCACCCACAAATGAGCTTACTTATGCTGCATACAATCTCATGAACCGAGTAGATAAAATATATTACACACAAGATTTTAATCGGCATATTCTTGGTATCAGATCGTCAACATGCATCTGTTTTCTCAGCCTTGGATATGCATCTTCATTGAAAATAAATAAATAAATAGAGTGCCCTTATTAAAATGAGCAAAGAAGAGTACAGGCATACAACAAAGCATTACATTCAGTTATGCTGTTATCACCACTGGAGGGAAGAAATTTAATTTTCATAGTAATGTAATAATTATTGTATTAATTTGCAAAGAGAACATGCAATTCTAAATTATAATTATAATATTAATGGATGCATTAATTTCATTATGCACACACCACTGCTATGATAAAGATGCTTTAGGAGTCATAGCAGCCATGACCCTGTCAGTGCACTGCAGTAGGCTAGGCCCTGATCCACAGCGAGTTTAGAACAAAGGCTGGGGACTTAAAGTTGTAGTACACATTTGTATGGGGTGCTACACTATGGATTACTTGCTGTGGTGACTTCCTGGACTCCATCCAATCCATACCAAAGTTCAAAAAATAAATTTAAAAAATATTACATCTTAATTAACAAACTTTAAAAGTGCTAGTAGGCAAATTTTTGTTAGGTTGCATATTTAACTATTAAGCTAAGCAAGGCTGAGCTAAGACGAGCTAAGCATCTCCTGGCTTAAATTATATCAATGTTATCATGTCACTTACAAAAAAGCAAATGCTGACCGTCTAACTTTTTACATCACACAAAGGTCACATTTGAAACAAAAACACTGTTGTGTTTTGGCTGTCACCATCATACAATGCAGTACAATTCCACCACGGCAAGCAAGACAGGCACTGCTTGCCTCATGAAATCTAAAAACAGAGCTCAATTAAAACCAAAGTGAAAGCAATCACTGTCCTTGCATTGCAAACAGCATTACAACCTATAAGCTTCCCTTTCTGCCTGTTTGTGCCATCCATTAAACTACTGCCATTCTGTAACTGCAGTCAGCTACTATCTTTGGAAGAAGGCTTAACTTTGCTTTGAGGCCAGCAGCTTTTTCTGGTTGTCTGCAAATGCTTGTGATCTTTGAAAGGACACTGATGGGAGACTAGCATGTTAGACAAGCTCTAGATTAATTTTTTTTTTCTTTTGATACAATTTGGTAAGTTATCACTTTTAAATTTCACAACCAGGAATGAGTAGGGCAGGGATGCTAAATACAAGACCCAGGGGCCAGAATCACCAAAGTAATTAAAAAGTAAATAATATATTATATAACAGAAAACAATTAAGAAATAGAAATTTCAGGTTTGTTTTTTTGTTGTCGTTTTATTTTTTACAATGGGTAGTTAACTCATTCACTGCCATTGACGTCTATAGACGTCAATTGAAAAACTTACGTTGACTGCCATTGACGTCTATAGACGTCAATTACGTTTTCAATGGGAGGGGCTAGAATACAACCTCGGGCAGCTTGTCAGTGAACATCAGACTGCTTGAAATGTATTTTTCACAAAAAGCTCGTTTTCTCCCTTTTTTTGGTCAAAACAGGCATTTTTGGTGGAACCCACCTCTCTTCTACAGCTGATTACTAAAGAACGGAAAATGGTAGAAACAAGCTTGTTTTTTTTGGATGGAAGAAGAGAGTCTGTTCTTCATTTTGGTAGGTTCAGCGTTTATGTGATCATAACACACAGTTTTCTGTGGCTCTTCAAAAATGAGTAAAAATGCTCAAAAACCCTGGCAGTGAATGAGTTAAATGCATGGTTAAACTTTGTGACAGACTAAAAGGTCTGGCCCACTTAAGATCAAAGTGGGTTGTATGTGAACCTCTATGTAAAATAAGTTTGGCATCTGTGGAGTAGGGTTTTTTTTAACAGTACTATAATTTCAAACTTGATAACCAGTAAAATACTCAGTACCATTTTGAATGCCGTGGGGAGCAAAAGATGGCAAAAAAATATTTTAGGCTTTATTTTTTAAAATAAAAACAATACAAACAATAACATTAATGGCACTATTTATGCTTGCCTTTTCGTAAAAGTCCCGACATGGGTGGCATTACAACAAGGCCCAAGGCTGGCCAAGGTAACAGAGGGAAAAATATGACCCTTGGCTCTCGAATAGTTAACCAGTATACAAGAAGCTAAACATTAACATCTTTCATACTCTTCTTTCGCCTCTTCTCCAGTCCCTATTTTTGTCTGTTTCTGGTGATATTTTTATCATCTCTATTTTGAATGAGTCTTTAACTTGCCCACCTTTTCCAAATTCATAATTTTTTCCTGTTTTGACAGCAGTTTGTAAACTCTGCTTTTAGATAAAAGAGCGCTATTAATAAAAGAAAAGAAAAAAAAAGGGAAAAAAACTGTCAGTCTTACACTGAATACCTCTCCCCTCACAGTTTGTTTCTCCCTCTGAACATGTATTTGAGTAATCTGGGAAAAAAATCCACTCGGGTGTCTGATAAGGATTCAGCTTCTCAGGTTCTGACAGGTACACACCTCACCACTCCCCTCTCCATCCCGAAAGCCAAAACAAAGGATCGACTGTCCCGAGAAAGAGTGGCCGTCTTATGTTTCAGTTCCCATGAGGCAAGAGTTAGTGTATACACTTTTACTATATCTTTGCCAGGCTTGATCTTATGGCTCATTTCCACATGAAGAAGAAATACAGCTTTCTTCGAAGAACTAGGTAAATGCTAAAACACATTTCATCATGCGTGCTAGGTTCTTGTTCCAAAGAGCAATATGCAAATAGTGCACAGATGGATGTTTTGAAACACTTGCGCATGCGCATATATGCACGTCCCTGCACAGCCGACACAGAGGTTGTTCTTGCAGTGCAGTCATGCGCAGCTCCACATCTCATTTCACTCTCTCTAGACTTCTTTTCATCTAAACCATCTCTCCATCTGCACCATATGAAAGGACCAGACCTGACAATAGAGTTATATTTGAGTAAAAAGAATATGGCGGTCCCTCGGGGCCACTCACAGGCCCTCAGAACAACTAAGAAACGCTATTTTGGTATCAAATGGTGGACACTCATACCGCTTTCTGAGATCACCAGTATGCAACATATGCAAGAATCTGCAAAAACACAAGCAGGCACAAAAGGCAAGACAATATACTACACAGCACTTCATGTTTACGGAATTTATCTTCTATTGTTCTTTTTATTTTTAGAGTAAAACTCCCAGATTAGTCTAATTTAATACTCAAAAGAACAAACTTCCTGATGCCACATGGATGGTATCAAAACAAATTTTAATAGAGTATTGCTAAACCAATAATATATAAGGTAATGGGGGTAAAAGGAGGTCCTATTTTGTTTTTATCCAAACCTACATGGCTCTGTGTGAAAGAAGTAATTTCCCCCCTTTTATTAAATGATGAATTACCTGTCATTAACTATATTTTTGGAAAGCTTATCCACCAATTTCACTAGCCAGATCTAGGCCTGATTACTGCCAGACCTGCTGTATCAAGAAATCACTTAAAAAGAACCTGTCGACTTAAATGAAAATGAAATCATCATTTAAAAAACATATTTTGTATTATTTAGGTTCTCTATCTAATATAAAAAAAAAATTAAGTTTCATGAAAGTTTCATTGTGACAAATATGCAAAAAAAAACAAGAAATCAGGACTTGGTAAAACATGTTTTAGACTGTTCAATCGAGCAATTAGGTGGATGTTTATAATAAACATGACCAAGTTTTAAAATTATTAGGTCACCGGAGGTGGAAAAAGTACAGAGATTCTGTACTTAAGTAGAAGTACAGATATTAGTATTAAAAAATACTATTAAAAAGTATTTAAAAAATATTGTGTGTGATTTCCTGTGTTACTGTTTAGGCTCAGATGGGTTTGATGTTTTAAGGCTTGCACTGACATGAAATAATAACTCCCCTCATATAAGAAATATAAGAATAGTTTTTAACTGTGAGCTCAAGAAAAAAAAGCTGGTAATGAGCATTCTTCGGAAATAAGCTCATAGATACCGATATAACGTCAACATAATAATCATTTTTTACAAAATGTCCACACTTTTAAAAAAAATAAATTATGTTATGTATATACATATATTAAGTGGGTTATATGGTGTATATTAAAAATCAAAAAATCTAATGCGTTATCATATTTATGTCTGTTGAAATAATTTAAATAATAATAATTAGCTTGAGCGACAATTACAACTGGCTAGCCCAGAACAACTCACCACAGAGCTTGGGGAATAGTGTATAGTTAAATATTTAGAGCATACCTAAAGAAGGACAACGTCTAGAACAGCTGCTTCAAAGGGTTTGGGTCTATTTTGGGTCTGTCACCCATATCCCAAAGTTCTCCATTCCTTCCTTTATTTAAGAAATTCAGAAGGGTAGTTCTGTGTTTGCTGTTGAGTGTGTTTGCATATGTTGAGCATACATCACTTTTATTCCCTCAGTCCTTGGTAAACACTTTGAGCTTGACAGTGGTCCAGTGCGTAGAGGTATGTGACTGATTTGGCTAATGATTAAACCATTGGAGGTGGACTATAAGGGCAGGAAACAGAAATATTTTATAATGTTCAGATTTCTGAAGATATTTATCACAAGGCTGCTGTTTAAACTCATAAAATTTATGGACACATTGGCAATAAATCAGTGCAGCC